TAATTGTGGCCTATATATTTAAATTTTAAATTGGATCTGGATATATAATGATTTGTATTCAATATATATTTCAACTAGATATTTTCTGAAATGTTATTATTACACATAATAAGGCCATGATAAAATTATAAAAGATGCAAATAATTTCAGCTGCATCCACAGGGTGTTTTGCAAGGAGGAACAATCTAGAACTAGAAACCTAACAAATTTGAATAAGGTTTGAAGCTAAATTTATACAGAGAAGACCATCAGACAGTTTTCATAATTTGGAAAGCTAATAAATTCTGGCTTTAGAGCTTAACATGATGAGGGGTTTGAAACACACATAAAAACACAATTATCTTATTTCATTCAACAGATATTTTTAAAGTACTTATTTACCCTGAGCTATCTGTTTGAATCCTTGGGAATAAAAATAAGGAACAAACAGTGAAATACAGCATCCATTTGAAAGCACAAAACAAACCCAAAAACATGTTATTTACTTGCATCTGTAAAAAGCAAAAGGAATAACATAAACTGACTCAGAAGCCTGTGGTCTCTGTCTTATATCTGTGAAGCCATGTGTAAAAGAAACCCTGGGGTGGGTACAGGTGATAGATATTCTCCTTATGACCTTAATGATGTAATTACTGCCTACCTATCCCAGGATGGTAGTCCCACTCATTAGCAGTCCCAGTATCTTATCTCTTCCATATTAATACTTTTTCACCTACCTATTTGGATGCAAAAAATGAAAAAATACATTATAACTAGAAACAAAAAGAAATTCTTGACCTGGGAAAGGAAAACTAAAAAAGAATTGTGATTACTCTTACCTGTCATTTCTCAATAATATCTTAATCTTGCTACACTTTGGGTAGAGAACGAAAGAGGAAGGGCAAGGAGTGGAGAGACAGTGAGACAGGGTAGCCTGAAGAATGTTTAAGTTTTTCCAGCTGTGTATAGTTGTTAAGTGTCTACAGGGCTATGTTTACATAGAAACGTAATTATAGAACACAATTTTAAGAAAGCAAGTCTCATTAATGAGACTTAAGTTAGTGTATGGATATACTCATTGGACTTTGTAAGAAAGACTTTGAAGGAAATAAAGTATGATTTTACAGTGGAGCTGAGATAAGAAATGTATATTAATAGAAAGAATGGAGATAGTCTAATGCATGAGAAGCATATTGAACAATGCCACAAAAGCAGAAACACTACAGTTTAATAAAAGTAGATGCAAAATTTCTCATGCTACTCAGCTTAGTTAGGATGGACTTCATCTGTGAGATGCATCAAAAGATAAAAACAAGGGCAGCAGGTTTAATGTAAAGAATAACCAATTGAGCACCAGAAAGTCTGTACTGATTTTTTATCATTAACTTGGAAGAAGTTCGAGAAAAGCCAAGCATAGTGCCTGAGATATAACTAGCACTAAATTATTTGCAGAATTAAGGAATGAATCCAAGTAAAGAAGCAAGGAGGAGCAGTCATAGCTACAATGGGATCTCTTGTTTGTGTAGAGTTTGCTATGAAATAAGCAACAAGGTTACATTAATTTCAACTATATAAAGTATTTGAGCTAAAAAGAACAGTAAGTGAATGGTACTACCTAAATTATTTTTCTTAAATTTATTTCTTAAATTTATTTACTGTCTTGATAATACTTTTTTAAAATTACAGTTATTACATGTTTGAAAAAAAAAACAAGCACAAAGGGAATACGGAGATTCAAGTTTCTGTTTGAACCAAGACAATCCATTGAATCTTCATTCTTATTTACTATCGGCATAACAATACCAACCCCAACCCTAATGCTTCAAAGAATCTTTTTGATGATCAAAAGAGATAAGACTGAGTTCCGTGAGAGTAGCAGTCTACTTCTGAATCCTCGAGGACTAGTACAGTCCTGGCATAGTAGGTGATTAATAAGTACTTACTGTACATTTATCAATTGAATAGTTATTCAAATGAAATTTTCTTAATAACTTTGTAAAGAATACTTCTTTCTTTGATCTTTCTAGTTTGCCAGTTTGATTAATGATTTACTTTTTGATACCTGGCCATCATTTCTGAACTGATAGAAACAACAGTTTCTGCAAATTTTCACAAAACATTTCTCCCAATAGGAAAGCACATTGAAACATTCTTTGCTCTAAACTTTGAATACATTCCTCTTCTAGGCTATTTGTAAACAGTGAATCTAGAATGAATAATTATTCTCCTTTTCAACAATGTGTTATCTATCTCTTGAAAAAAATGAAAGTTTTACAAATAACTATAAAGTTTCTGTAACATTAAATGGCATCAAAAGAAAAATTTCAGCTAATGGAGAGCAAGACAGAGTTAAGAGAGAGGGAAGAGAAGGTGAGATAAATGTGGTGATACAAACAATTAGGATGAGGTAAATAGACACAATATTGTCAAAACCCAACGACTAAGGAGGGTACACTCAAAGAACATGTTGGTCAGAGAAGTAAAATTTTATATAACCATACTTGTTTAGTTCTAAACAAATCTTGAGATCTGAGTGAACAAATTTTCATTGCTATAATTTATGGCTGATTACATAGAATTGAAATATACTGTACAAAAACAACCAACCAATCAAGCAAACCAACAAGAAGTGCAAAAGTAACACTTCAAGAGGAAAGCCACCAACTGTGACTCTGATTTCAAGGTATAACAAGTATGTAGGACCACCTGCTAAGTAGGTGCTAAGCATGTGTAAGTACGTATCTGACCACCTGCTAAGCTACGCAGGTGGTCAGAAACACAGTCGCAGTGGGCCTCCACAGTGAACCCTGTGTGGATATAAGGAAAATGGACAACAGCATCTCAGAATGGAAGCATGGCGATATTTTATTACTGTTTGGTTAAAGGAACTATTTGAATTTCCTATACCTATGTTTACTCTATGACCAAGAAAATTTCTGGACGTAACAAGCACAATCTAAACTATGTGAAGATGCTTTTTACAAATATATTTCTTCCTCAACAGTAGATCTAGAAAGACAATAAGGTAACAAAGCTGAGTGATATACCTGCTTTTTCTTAATTTAGACATTGAGCATTAAGTAACAAGTTAAATGTGGTTTACAGAAATAAAATTAAAAATAAATTGTGTCAAAACTAGGATGAATATTCTAGCATATGAAATGTATGTCAAAAATCTGGATCATACGCCAGAAGAAAAATGCAAAAGCTCATCAAGAATGAGAAAAGTGATACAAATTTGGCCCAGGGTTTGAAGGGTATAGGGGAAGGGAGCCAAAGAAGTTTTCGAGAAAATCTGACTAAATCAACGCCTTGAAGATTGTACTTTTGATGAAAAACAGATAAAAATTTCATGAATTCCTTGGGTCTACTTTCCAATATAGAAGATTTACCAGTTTTTCCTACTTAAAATACAGATGGAGATGCTAGAAATACCACTTCATAAACATCTGGAAATGCTGATCACATTTAGGAAACATCTGTGGGCCTTGATCTCTGATGGAAAGAGCCTGGGAAATATTTCAATTTCTTATACTCAATCTTGAAAAGCATGAAACTGATACTGCTATTAAACCCACGCAATTACATATACACTCAGCCTTCTGTATCCATGGGTTTCGCATCTGTGGAATCAACCAATTTTGGGTTGAAAATATTATTTTTAAAAAATTGCATCTGTACTGAACATGGACAGACCTTCTTCTCTTATCATTATTTTCAAAACCATACAGTATAATAACTATTTACATAGCATTTACATTGTATTTGGTATTATAAGTAATTTAGAGATGATTTAAAGTATTCAGGAGGATGTGCGTACATTATGTGCAAATACTATGCCATTGTACATCAAGGACTTAAGCATGTGTGAATTTTGGAGGAGGTTCTGGAACCAATTTTCCATGGATACCAAGGGTCAGCTGTATTTCATATGTTACCTTTTTCTCATCTTTTTAAAGAAGACTCTGGTAAAAGAGAATTGTATTTCAAGAATATGCTATGAATTTCTTTTTGAACTATCTCATCAAAATGTAAAATGGCATGAAACTGGTATATTTCTGCTTTTTAAAATATGATTTGCTTTGCCATGTCTCTGGGTAACATTCCTGATGTGTTCTAAAATTCTGGCAAACAAACTACATTAACCCAGAGTAATTTAATGGATAGATACTGAAATTGTCTTTCAAGCCCCACATTGCAAATGCACTTGGGCCTCAGCAACTGTCTAGAAACATGGTTTTCAAAACTGGCTGTCCTGGAGACTAATGTGGCAAGATTTTGAAAAATACTAGTGTGTGAGTTCCATACAGAGAGATTCTGGTTTAATTGCTACAGTATGGGGCTCAAAAACAAAGGACTGGGTCCAGCTCTAGTATTTCACAACAACCAAGTTAATTATCTCTCTCCATCTCTTACCTTTATATATTACATTTTTTTATTGTTGTTGTTTGTTCATTAATTAAAGGCTGTTCTCTGCTTTGGATTTCACATCACAGAAAGTAGTCCCTGAACCCATGAACCAATTGACTGTGTATAGAAAAGGTGGTCATCTTGTAAAAGCATGAATGCTTTTGTAGTAACATGTAGACAAAGATTAAGGGTATGGTAGATCACCAGTTTCCAGAAAAACAGGTTCAGAGAAGGTAATATTAGTGTTCAGTGATAGAAAAACTATCTTGAATCTTTAACTTCTTATGTTGACATGTGAAACAGAACACTTCTATAAAACTTCTCTAATTACATTTTTGATTTGATAGGTAAACTGAATTTTTACTAATGAAACTCTTATGTTTACTTTAAGCTGACTAAATTGTACTTATTGTTTTTAATGAATACATTTGTATCTTCTGCTATGCACATACAACCACCATTCTGTGCCAGGCATTACGCTCCTGATACTGTCTGACTGTTGAATAGCCTGATGAAGGGCATGGGGAGGCAGTAGTGAGGAGGAGGGGATGTGGGAGTGTTAGGTGATGTTAAAGAGACATGATCTTTTCTTTTTTGATGACCTGGTACAGCATGGACCAAGCCCACATCTTTTCTAAAGTCAAAGAGTGAACCTGCTGATTTTTAAGCAAGAATTTCATCACCTTTGTTATTGATGTCTCTATGACTCTGAATCTAATCTCCTTCCACCTTATGTTCTTGAAACTAGTTCTTGTTTATTTTTTAACGCATCATTACAAATGCAGTCAAGATTTTACTTTTAAGGCTTCTGAAGATACAACTTGCCTAGTTAGGAAAAATTGATAATCTGGATTTCTTTGCTGCCACAAGAACTTTGTCCTCTATATCTCTTCATTCATCCCTCTGCTAACGGGCTTTGTCAAAGAAGGGAGGGCTTTAGCAGTATCCCTGTCACAATTGCAGCTTCCTGAGAACATTGGGAAAGTGCTCACCTTGGCTTCAGTGTGGCCTGTGCTGAGACATGGTAGCTGTAGTCATGTCCCAGGAGATTAGCACCCCCAGCAAGTCCCTGCTTCTCGAAACAACTGGGTTTCGCTATGATGAACAATATGCACTGGTAAAAAGAATCATAGCCCTTTGAAGATAACAACACTTTGAAACTTTGAGCAAGTCTGGCACACCTTCACTCACTCCTCCCTTCATCAATTTTTACTTAAGAAACGTCAACTGTATTTGAAGCATTTTTGTTTAAAAAGTCCGTGTTACTGATTTAATGTTTGTGTCCTTTCAACCCACCCAAATTCATATGTTGAAATTCTAACTCCTAACATGATGGTGTTAGGATCTGGGACCTTTGGGTGGTGATTAAGTCATGAGGGTGGAGCCGCACAAATGGGATTAGTGTCCTCATAAGAAGAGACAAGAAAACTTCTGCCTCTGTTCTCTGCCACGTGAGGATACAAAGAGGAGACAGGCATCTGTAAAGCAGGAAGAGGACCTTCACCAAGAACCTGACCATGTTGGAATCCTGATCTTGGACTTCCAGCCTTAAGAGTTGTGAGAAATAAATGTTGTTTTTTTAAACCTCTCAGTCTATGGTACTGTATTATAGTAGTCCAGACTAAAACAGGTACCCATCCTATCTTTCCCCTCAAAACAGGATAATTGCTCTCTTCCACAAGCTGAGGAGCAAGGACAGCCAGTCTGAGTCCCAAAACTGAAGAACTTGGAGTCCGATGTTTGAGGGCAGAAAGCATCCAGCACAGGAGAAAGATGTGGACTGGGAGCCTAGGCCAGTCTAGCTTTTTCACGTTTTTCTGTATGCTTTATATTCGCTGGCAGCTGATTAGATGGTGCCAACCCAGATTAAGGGATGGTTTGCCTTTCCTAGCCCACTGACTCAAATGTTAATCTCCTTTGGCAACACCCTCACAGACACACCCAGGATCAATACTTTGCATCTTTCAATCCAATCAAGTTGACACTCAGTATTAACCATCGCAATCACTTTTAGTAATCAGCACAATTCATATAGTCCAACCATTTGGTATATACACACACATACTGATTTGGTATATCTTAAATTAAATTTCTAACTCTATTTCTTAGCAAAAGTATCTTGGCACAGAAATAGTTGGGTAAATCTCACATGTTATTAAAAGGAATTAGTGAAAACATTTTCATTTAGGTTTATTAAAAAACAATAATTAATGATCACACACTGGCCTTTACAAACTCCTTTTGACATACTTATCTTTAATATTTATTAAGGGCAAGATGAGTAAACAAATTTTATCAAGTAAAGATGTGTAAACATAAATTGTGAGAAGTTAAATAAGTTTATGAGTTTGTTGAATGTTGTTGAATGAATTTATGAATGTTGTTGTAGAGATTCAACCTACATATTCTGACTTTAAGTCCAAGCCCTTTTCATTACATAATGTGATGTCCATTAAAAAGAACAACACCTTAAATAGGAAACTGCTAATGTTCATGCAAAATAAACATAAATTTAAAAAAATAAAAAAGAGTCCATTAGCTTCATGCCCAGTATGATTCAGCCATCTTATGCAGCTGTGAAATAAATTGATGCCAACGTAATCCATGTTAGTAAATGTCTACTGTCCAAGAAAAGAAGGTCACATCTTTTTACTATATTCTGCAATGCCAACAACGTGTCTGGAATATCATTTAGTTCCTGGGCCTTGTCTTAAATGAAGTTGTAAAAGGTTAAAAATGTCTTAAAGAATGGCCATTCTAGCAAGAGAGCTTCATTTGAAAAACAGCTGAAATGGGGGATATGGACATGTTTAGCCCAGAAAAATAAAGATTCAGGAAGGAGGATGAGTGGGTTAGTTGTCATGAAGTACTTGAAGAACTATTCGAAAGTAACTTTGCATCTCAAAGTGTCAGAGCTAAGAACAAGGAATGTAATTTTTAGGCGAGGACAACAGTTTCCATCTAATATACTACTTTCTAACTATTAGAACTCTTCAGAAGCTTTAAAGGGCTACCTCATGCAGACACAAAGGGCTCCTGTGAAATATGTTGTACAGAAGGCTCCAGACTGCATGGTTCCCACCCAGCCTTCAGCAGTTTAACCAGAGAAGGGAAGAATGGAGGGGTTCCGTTTTTGTTGCAAGAGATCATACCCAATACCGTAATCATGGAAAGAGCTTGTCCACAAATGGTTATGATGATGTAGGTAAGTTATATCAATCATGAAATTTCACATTTGAGAGTTTGGTTAGTGTACATTTACCCTGTTTTTCTTTCTCCCTCTTCTTTTTAAGTAGTTGAAATTAGTATAACACATTTCATTATTTCAAAATACCCTTTGGTGTTCAAGAGATAGACTAAAAGGCAAAGGTTTCAGTTAATGTCTTCAGTTTGGAAGCTACATCTTTAAGGGAGAGAGTGACCTGGAGCTAAAATTGTAATTCTTATCCTGCAGCATTCAAGTAAGAATAGACAGCTGTCCCTTCACGACTCTCTCTGCTGAAACCCTTATGATGCTGACTAAAGCACATCTTCAGTTGCTCAACAGGTCAACTGGAACTGGGATTTTGTAGCACAGTTTTACATCTTTGCAAAGGCTTTATATTCTTTAGGTTGGATATTTTCACTCTTTGGGGTGGTTCTGTGAACAGAGAGTAGATGTTAGGTCCCCTGGATTTGGAGTCAGACAAGACCGGCTGTGTCCCTTGACATGTGTGTGCCCCTGTATATGTCCTCTTCTGGAATAGTAAAATATCAGTAATGTTTACTACACTCAGTTGTTTTGAGGATGGAGATAACCATATGTATGAAGAGTTTAGCACAATACATAGTACATATTAAGTGCTGGAAAAATATTGTGTTGATTTTTAAAATTATATGTATGCTGTTTGTTTCAACCAAGTGTGGATCCACAATCAAGGGTAGCTCTGTGAAGAGCCCATCTACAGCTTCTTTGTACCCAGCCAAGACTTTTGGGATTGCTATTTTGCCAGCTGTCTACATTAAACTATGGTTTATTGAACAATATCATCGTCACACAAAGTTCGTTGTTAAAAAAATGAAATAAATTCTTGTCACGAATGTTATCTGTTGGAATATAGAAATAACTTCATTTTAATTGGTGATTTTTAATTTTATTATTTTCTTTGAGATATGAGAAGGTGGAAATGAAGAGAGCACTGTGGAATTAAACCAGCTTGTATGTATATATGTCTATACTTATATGTGTGTTGGGGGCAGGGGGAGGGGTGTGTGTGTGTGTGTGTGTGTGTGTGTGCAGTTTTGGTTTCTGTAGCAGGAGGCTTTAGAAATGTGGTGACTGCAAGGTCACCCTGCCCTTCATCACTAACTCCTACATGTCTGCTAGTCCTAAGTAAAATGGATATTAATGCCCATGGGTGTCTGTGTGCAAGTGAGGCACTGTGTTCTATGGTGGCTATGGTCTGAGCAACTGATGTAGAACCATGGACTCAGACTGGATGAGACCCTGAAAGCCAGGATTCATATATTGAAGCCAAGAAGAAACTGAACCTTGCTGAAGAAACAGATCTTTCCTACAGAGCATAGGTGAATAGGAGTATTTGCATATTTGACTGCATCATGAGGAGTTTTCTTCAGGTATCTCTGAAAAGAACAGCTGGCTTGCTTGTTTTTATTCTATCATCAGTCTTTTCAGAGTAGAAACCAAAGTCCTCATAATGACCTGCATGATTTGGTGTCTCTGACCTCCTCTCCCATTCTTCTCTTATTCTCTTGCTTTTACTCCAGCCACACTGGCATCTTTCTGTTTCTTAAACTTCAAGACTACTCTCCTATCTCAGGATGTTTGCAATTATTGTACCCTCTTTCTCAAATAATATGCAACTTTCTCATTTAAAATGCATGTATTTATGAATGCATTTATTAATTTTATTTTCTGCTCCTCCCAACCAATATTATCTCTAATAGTTATAGAAAATAATAGAGTAAAAAAAGTCTACCCACAATGGAGACAACTTTAGAATTCAAAAAAAATTTAGTAAAAAATGTATTAGGCCTTCATGGAGACTAAAATATTAATAAATATTGTAAAATCTAGGGCATGTAGGCAATGCTTTTAGATGAGAATACCCAAGATTTTAAAAATCAATACATAGTAATTAACATATTATTTTAATCTGCAAAACCCTTAACTTTTAAAAAATTGGCTAAAAGGATCTTCAAATATATGGGGGAAAATACATGCCCAAGAATAGTTAAAAAATATTGGAAGTGTAATTTTACATATAAAATTTTATATTTTACACAGTAACAAGGCCACTGAATATTATTTTACAATGACTCAATACAAAAAATAATTTTGCAAACCATGTCCATTAGCTTTAAAAACTTAATTTCTTTGTCAGCAACTAGTGCTCTATACTCACAAATATATGAAAATTATCAAAAGTTTTGCTAATCCATGTTGCTATGACTAGGATATTTCCTGCTGTTACCTCTATTTCACATATAGTCCATAGCTCCATATAAGAATAATGGAGATTTATAGTGAGTAAATATGTAATATTAATGGTATGGAAAAATATCACAAACAAGATATGTTGTTTTGAAACCTCACCCTAAATATTAATTACTGATTTGTACCACACACCTATATTCTTAATTCAAACATTTGTGTAATGAATAGCTACTTAAGGAGTGAAGAAAAAAGTTTTGCTAAACTATTTTTTAATTTTTCTGGTCTGACTTTCATAGTGTTTCATCCTTTTCTAATTATACTATGATAAATGTAAAATCTTAGAGAAATAGGACTAGTAGAAATGGGTTGGTCTAGAGACCCTAAAAATAAAAAATGAAAAATTATAGAGCATTTAAAAAGTAAGTCTGTTACTTCCAGCGAATATATATAGTTTGTTTTCAATGTTTGTATATCTTTTTTTCTGATTAAATGTATATTACCTTCTGAATGTAATGATTACTGGACTAATGTTACAAAAACAACAAAAAACAAAACAAAATCCTCCATTCATTTCCCACTCACTGAATTTAGTCGGCTGTTTCCTAACCTAACCCATTGACCTTGTTATGGTCACAATGAAAGTACTCAATATTTTTTCCTAGCGAGGCATAATGGTTCACACTTGTAATCTCAGCACTTTGGGAAGCCAAGGAGGGCAGATCACTTGAAGTCAGGAATTTGAGACCAGTCTGGGTAACATGGTGAAACTCCGTCTCTACTAAAATTACAAAAAAATTTAGCCAGGTGTGGTAGCTTGCACCTGTAGTCCCAGCTACTGGGGAAGGTGAGGCAAGATAATTCATTGAGCCTGGGAGGCGGAGGTTGCACCGAGCTGAGATCGCGCCACTGCACTCTAGCCTGAGCAACAGAGTGTGTGAGACTCTGTCTCAAAAAACACAACAAAACAAAACACTCAATATATTTCCTGATTGTGAAAATGATTTGTGAAAATTCAAACATCACAGAAAAGAGGGAGTTGTTCTGCCAGGTGAAAATGCACACACTTGAACCTTTCCTTGGATATAGAACATGAGAGAAAGTTCAGTTTATTCTTAATTTCAAGATTGTATTTGTCAAATACAAAACATACAAGC